TATTCATATATATTCAAATATATCTACAGTATGTATTCATATGTAAGCATTATGTATTTATATATGTATCAACAGATTATAGTGTATATATACTGAAGTTTGTATTCATATGCATTCAAATATATCTACAGTATATACTCATATGTATTCTACTATATATTAAGCATTATGTATTCATATGTATTTAGCAGATTGTAGTGTATTGCCATATGTAAAATCGACTTATACCGATTGTTGTATATATTTGTATGAATTTCAAATTTTATTTAGTAAACAGAACTTCCACAAACGATAGCAACAAAGAAAGGCAGGAATGAATCTCTAGAGATTGCTCTGTTTTGGGGTATTTTTCGGCTGAGAATATTCTATAACTGGAAATATAAATTATGCGTGTTATAATTGAGTTAGTTGAGTTATATTAGGAGTCTATCGCATTAATTGATTCACTTACCCTTTTTAAACAACTGAAAGGACCATTTTTCCGCAGATTTATGTTGCTGTATTCACGAATACAGCTCGCGAATACAGTCGAATACATACTATGCTTAGCTGGACTCCCCTATTTTTCGCCGAGTTTTGCTACTATATTCATGAATATAGTAGCAAAAATATATTGAATACAATCTATAACAACTGAAAACATAACTATAGGAAGTAATTTAGTAAATGATAGATATAACAAGCTAATAACCACTAAACAATAGTGGTTTGTGAAAATTTCTCTTTGCGGTTAGTCTAGAAACTCTAAGGCCCACTTGCATGGAAAAATAGCATGGACTAACCACTTTTTTGAACTGTTAATCGAAAAATAGTCAGCATTTGCAAAATCATTAAAAAATAACTACTATTTTATGCGGATAAAATCTTGACAAAACTACCCTAGTCGAAACACGGAAAAGTTCCAGCATAATATGCTGGATTATGGAGCTCCTGCGCATAAATTTCCAACATATTATGTTGGAACTCCATCACATTATGAAATTCTAGTACATTATGCTGGAACCTCATGTGAAGAAAAAAAAAATCGAACTCCAACATATTATGCTGGAATTTTGCCAGATTTTAAGGGTATTTTTGTTCAAATTTGGTCTTTACATGAAAAAGTGGCTAAAATTCAATTACTTTTAAAATTGTGATTATTTTTAATTACTATTTGTAAATCATGCTACTACATTTTTTATTTTTTTTCCACAACAAATGAAGTCTCCAATACCTTTTTCTTATCTTGAAAATGGAGAAAGAATTAGCTAAAGGTGTCAAAAAAGGTAATTTCTAAAAAAAAAATGAATTGAGTAATCACTGATTGATATTTAAGAATGATAACTATTCTACTTTTTGCTCCTTAGTGATTTTAAACTTTGATATCATTGATCTATAATGATCATTAGGCTCCGACTTGCTACCTCATTTGACCAGATAGTGATTCAACTCATTGAACCATAATCCCTTAACATAATTTATTTAAGCGCCATTTGATTCGAACAAAATTGGTGAATATTTGGTTTATTCCATTAAAAATGAAATATATGATATACAAAGTAAAACTTTACAATCTTATCATAGTTTTTAAAAGTAAATAAATGATAAGGGCAGTAAAATTACTTTAAACTTTTAGGTATTTTATTTCGTAATGCTAATCGCAGTATAAGTTATGCCACATTGAATTTTGAAATAATAGAGTCAATATTGCAGTATAAAATGTAACGATATTGATTATATCAAAAAATGAAATACTAACCAAAGGCGATAAAAAATAATACTGAACCTTACATCGATTTTTATTATTACGCAGTGCGTATGAAACATACATACCGTTCTCAGAAATATCAGAGCATATGGAATTGCTTCATTGAAATTACACGAGGAAACTAGCTAATAGCACTAAAAACTCAAACCATGGCCATATATGCGCAAGTAGCATAGTCAGGCCTCTACATATATGGTTAATAATTTTGAAAATTATATTAATTTGTACTAAATACATACTCATGTCACCATGATATAAATTGAAGTGATGGCACTACGTGTACACTAACCAGAAATCTTGGTTCCGCCTCTGACTTAAAAAAAAGAATATAACGTCCCAAGACTTCAAACAAAAACCTCAGGGCATCCAAAAGAGGTGAACGAGTGCAGTTCCTTCTTGAGCCTTTTCTTTTTGACTCCTACCGAGAAGAGAAAGCGGTAAACCTCTCTTATTCGATCAGTCTAAGGTCAATTCTCTGTGATCGCCGAGTTCACGACATCAAGTTTTCTAGCAAAGATCTACTTTCTTTCTTGACCTCCTTGAAGCAGTAAGCAGGAGCTTGCCACTTTGAATCCTCTAGCACTTTTCCCACCTCAAATGTCATTATATGTTCAACCAAACCTGCATTGTTTCACACATTTCAAGCATTAAACTTTATCATAAGGGAAAAAAGAACACGAGAGAAAGACAGCTACATTACGTTTCTTACATGAATGTTTTGATTATTTTTTTCCTATTCGAGCCGTGAAAGTAGTCATTAACAGAGATGAAGGCAGAATTTCAAGCTTATAAGTTCGAGATTCTAATTACTTTAAGTTACTGGTTCTAAATTAATAATATATTTATGCACATTTAATGAATTTTTAAGACAAATATAGGGTTCGAATCAAAACTATTGGGTGAAATTTTTTACTTCTTTCACTGATGCAACTAAACTTTCCCCTTTGAACTAAACTCCGCGTATTTACTTTTAAATTTTTTTGAATCCCCTTTGGTGAAAATTCTACTTCTTTCACTGATGCAACTAAACTTTCCCCTGCACGAATACATAATACTTTGTGCACTAAACTATTCTTTATCAACAGGAATACAAGCGTCTATTCTAAAGAAACGGTTAGAGTGCTCTAATGGCAAAATCCAGTAGCAAAACCTTAAAAACCTTACTACCTTAAATGTGTCAGAAATTGAAGTTTATCTCATTAGTAGTGAATATATGCATAAAATAGTGAATTTCATTCTTAATTTCACTATCGAAAAGAACGGTCCTTTTTCTAATACAAGTAGTCTGTCTTAGCAGAAAATTTATAACCCAAGTATAAAGCATAAAAAAAAAAAACAATTCTTCCCTAAAATAGATGGTCTACGTAATTCAACAAATTAAAAGACATTTAAAAATAATATTTGCGTACCATCATAAAAATGCCAATAAACAGGAATCTTGGTAACAGCATCCTCGTAATACCGTAAGAAACCAACTTTTTCCCAAACATTACAAAGGAATCCATCCTTGTACCTTTGTCCTATATAATTTGAACCTTCAAGCCAATTAGGTCTAAGAATTCCCACTGGAAAATGCCTAACAGTACACTCTTGAGTAGAATCCAAAGTGAAATAAAAGGAAGTACCATTTTGCCATTCAACATCATACAAAGTCTTTCCTAATTGGTATTGGTTTATATGCATGTACCTTTTGTTTGGCCAGTCGTACCAAAGGTCCACTTTCCTAAGACCTTGAGTGTAGTTCATGATTGTAATTGCGTGGAATTGGTGAGGCCATGGAGCTGGAATTGGGTCTGTGGACTCTGATTCAAATGCAATTGAAGGAAACAAGAGAGTGTATGTAGTGACAAGGAAGATGAATTTGATAGTAGGAAACATTTTGTTCTTGTTCTGTGTTTTTGCTTTTCTTTTAGATGTCTCGGCAAAGATAAAAAGTAAGCAAATAAAATCAGCTAGAAAAATTCAGAAGCAAACATGTGGAACATAAACTGCCATGTAGATAAGGTCCATCTCACTTTATGATGCTTCATTTCTCAAGTGAAATTAAAAAAAAGAATTATTACAACAACGGTAATAACACATTTGGTGCGATCCCACAAATAGAGTCCGCAAAGGATGAAAAGTATGCAGACCTTACTTCAACCTTATGTGAGGTAGAATGAGTATGGAATATACGCAGATCTTACTTCTACCTTGTGTGAGGTAAAAAGGATATTTTTGATTAACTCACGGCTGAGAAGGGTGTAAATTGAAAAATTTATCGGCGAAGAAAAATATTTTACCATGGTCAAAGTGTCGAATTCTACTTAGAAAAAAACGTGTGGTTTGATTTAGTGATTTTTTATACAGTCAAGAAATATCAATTTACCCGACAAGAATTATAAAAAAGTCTTTCCATTTCAAAATTGTCTACAATCATAATAGAAATGGGATGAGTTGATATTGAGATTATAAATATCCTTTTATAAAAATCACTTCACATTAAAAACATAAATCATGATACAAGATAATGTTACCGTCCAAATTTTAAGTTTTTGGTTTGTGGAACAGAAAAGAAAACGTATCGTACGATGGACAATAATATCAGACCAGGTAAATATGCAAACGTGTAAATGTCTTAGAAATGGTTACCAGAAATTCTAAATTATCATAGAAGATACAATAAGAATTCAAGAATATCTCAAAATCTCAATCCCACATGGATCCCACCATTTGACTCAAAATGATCACATCATAATTCCTTTGGGATAACAACAACAATAACATACCTAGTATAATTTCACGGGTGGGGTCCGAGGAGAGTAGTGGATAGTGAGTACGCAAACCTTACCCCTACCTGGAGAGGTAGAGAGGCTGTTTCCCATAGAAAAATATATAATTTAGAAGTCGAACTCCTCAGAACTCATAGTTGCTTCATCCATTCCCTTCATTTGCTAGCTAAGACCTCTACGAAATCTGCCTCTTTCTTTATCACTTTGCAAACCATAAAGAATATTTCAATTAATCAAAGCATGATCTCCTGCAGAGCTACAGAAAACTGGAGTACGAATTGTACCAGAATGCTGCTCCTCTAATCTGTACTATCCCAAAGTTACAAATGGTACATGAAAACACAGATAATCTATCCCGAACTGGACTACTAGACACCAATTTTGATGCATCCTCCAGAATTTGAAGACTAGGTAGCCACTTTAACAATTTATACCGATAGCTATAGTTTCCCATAAGCAATATCAATTTTCAGTAGACAGTTGGGCAGTAAGCAAAGGCAGATCGTAACATAATTACCATGAAGCAGTATTATTGCTTCAACCTGCACTTGATCACATTCTTGTTCCAAAGCAAAAGAAAGTGAGCTGATTCTGGAATTAGTCCTCAATGCCCACTTTTAGAAGTTTATCTCACGTCTCTCAGCAAAGAACTTACCACTCACAAACTGGTCAGGGAGAAGAGCAAGCCAGACTGCAGTATCAGCAGCGTCTGGTGGAGACGTATGCCCAGCCCATGCGGTCATGGCAGTCTTCACCCAACCTGGGCAATAGCAATTCATATATATCTTATGACCATCTGGCCTGTCTGAAAGTATCTTCGCCATTAGTCTGGTGTAAGCATTAGCAGCAAGCTTTGACAATGAGTAGTCAGTGAACACTTGCGGCCATCCCCCAGATACCCAAGTCCCATCTTTTACTTGTTCCAAAAACGTGTTCACGGTACTATCAATCAGTTCCTCTGATAAGGAATTTACATCCTCCAGTTGTTGTCTCAAGTTGACATTTGCAATTCTCTGGTGGGCATCAAGCAAAAGCAGATCATTTTTCAGATGTGAATGAAATAAAAGATGTTTGCATGTTAGAGACCTCAAGTATTTTGTTTTTTTTTTTAACCGTGGTGTCCGGGGTAGCTTGCGCGCACCTCGACTAATTTCACGGGGTACCTGCTATCTCCCACTAGCAACAGGTTCTAGGTAACCTCAAGTAGTTATTGCTTGTGACGAATTGCAAAAATCTCCTAAGAAGCACTCCAATGAGAGTGAAGTATTGATCAAACTTGATTTCGAAGTAAACAAATGAAAAGAAGTACTCTTCTGCCACCCCAGGCCCCTTTTAAATAGGTGTAATAGGTGTATGAAACTCACAATCAATGATTCCATTTTGTTGAGAAAACCCACAGCATCTCTCTCTATACATAAAAGGGAAACTATGTACCATATATAATATTTGCTGCACTCAATCTATGCCATGCCAGCATAGGAACCATAATAAAAAATCATCCTAAAGAAACAAATTCCACTTTGGGAACCTTGAGGTATTGCAAAAAGAGTAAGCAAGATGAAAAAGGACAAATAGAGTGAGAAGAATAAACAAGAGTGAAAAGGAATGCTATGGCACTTACATTCCGTCTGCCATTAAGTCTTCCCAATCGTGAGGTCACATTAATAATACGAGCACCAAAAGGAGAAGGCCTCATTAATGGAATCATAGCTTTAATCATACTTTTGGTGCCAAAGTAGTTGGTCTGTATAACGGTTTCTGCAAATTCCACTGAATTATCTGAGCCGAAATTGAAGTTGACTCCTGCATTATTGATCTAAACACTTCCATATCATTAACTGAAGGGCCAGATTCGCCAAAATCAGTGAACAAACAAAAATGATAACAAAATGAAAGCAAAGCAACGGCAACTATAGCATAATTACCCCCTCTTGCTTCTCTTTACCCTCCTTCCCCCACCCAAAAAAAAAGGAAAATTGAAAAATAAAAACAGAGAGCACATTCAAACAAAGAAGTACCAGAAAATCTTGCACCAATTAATATCAGTAAGATACTGAAAACCAATCTGGTTGCATATGCTACTAGTGCTAGCCCATAATGAGAAAATAAAGTAGATGGAGTATCACTGTACCAGTATATTTAGACCACCATATTTTTCTTTTATCCAATCAGAAAATGTTTGAATTGATGCTGGGTCCACAATATCCAATTGATGAAATACCACATTCAAACCTCCTTCTTGCATGACTTTCGCTGCTTCTTCACCAACACGGGTGTCTCTTGATGTAAGAACAACCGTTAGGCCATGTGATGCCAGTTGGTGAGCAATTTCAAATCCAATTCCTCTATTTGCACCAGTCACGACAACAATAGTGTCAGTTGACCACCATCTGAAAATCATCCACCGTCTATAAGTGTAATGCTCAGAATCAACATCCTAAAGCAAACCAATTTTGACTGGATGAACCATATTCCATCTTGACAATTATGCAGCTGAACTAGTGATTATCTTGATCCCATAACTAAAAGGATTAACTAGCCAAAGTTATCAAAACGGCTTGGAGCATCATTTTAGTTCATGACCAAGGCTGATTGGAAAGTGAATCAAAGAACTGATTATTTTCCCATGATACAGTCAGTTTATAGCTTTCCTTGAGCAGGGGGGCTATCGGAAAAAGCCTCTCTACCTTCACAAGGTAGGGGTAAGGTCTGCGTACACATTACCCTCCACCCTTCACCGAACCCACTAGTGGTATGCTGTTGTTGTTGATACAATCAGTTTATGTTATGATTATAGTAAGTCTATTAATCTGTTGCATAGATGAAGACATGAAGTATAAAGCCAGATTGTAGAGAATGGAAGAAAACCAACTGTACACCAAATCAAATTATCTCCATAGTTCTTTTCTGAATATGTCATTAAGCTGATAAATGGTCACATTGTTTCCCATCTAAAAATGCTAGAGCAAAATGCAGAATAAATGCACCAGGCTTAGCAGGTTTAGGTTTCTATTCTTTAAATGTTGTTCTTAAAATGCCTTACATCTTTATAGTTCTAATCTCCTGGTAGCAAAAATATACATTAACAGAACAATATGGTCACTCTATTAGATTCCAAAACTGCATCATTTGCAGTGCAAAGCTGTTTGTCTAATAATCATAAGAACACACGAACAATCATTATCTAAAACATTTGACACGATACTTGCCAACTATATGCTGCAATGCGCTGCTTCGAGTTTGTCATCTTAACTTATTTTTGTATCTCATGTACTGATGCACGTCTATATGGAAAGCCTTCCTAAATAGTGAGCTCATGGAAACACATCTCCCTTCGAAGTTTGAACAAACTACCGAGTAAAGCATATCACAAGTAGACTAATTACTATAAAGACATATATTGGAAGCTAAAGTGCTTCAGCATCTGCAGTTTTATGCTTCAGAGCAAGTATCCAATGCCATCAAATATAACCATCCCAAGAAAGCATAAGATGCTACAATTGAAAATGCTAGAGTTTGCTCCATCATCTACACACTGTTTCCTCTTCATATGTTTTTTAATCTATAAGGGTCGTTTGGTAGAATGTATTAGAAAAAATAATACATGTATTAGCTTTGGTATTATTAATCCCTTGTTTGGTAGTATTTTTCAACTTATGTATAACTAATACTTGTATTAATCATACACCCTATTCAGTACTATTTTTATACATAGCAAACTATGACATTAGCAATACATTGGTTTTTAATACATGGATAAGCACGTATAAAGACAAAACTGCCCTTTTAAGACCTTTAATACACCAAACCAAACAGTCGATAAGAAATACAGTCAACCCTCTCTATAACATTCTCGTTTGTTCCGATATTTTTTGGCTTTTATAGTGAATGGTTGTTATACACCTATAACACCATTTGACGTTAAAATATTTTTTGGCTGTTATAAATAAAATTATCCAAAAATCAATTATTTTTCCTTTTTTAATATTACATATAAAAGAGAAGAAAATTATTCAAATTCAAAATTTCAAAAGATATGCATTTTTCACTAGTTAAATATTGAAGAAAGCTAATACATTATTAATAACTAAACGTATAAAGATGTAAACTCTAAGGCCGACATTTTAAACCTACCTAGAAAAATAAATTCTTTCAACTTTGATAGAATAACTTTGTAATTGTAGCTTTTTCGTAGATTTCATTCTTTCGCTAGCACGATATAACGCTTGAATTGACAAAGATTCATGTCCAAATTTTCAACAAAAAGGTATCCAATTATGAATTTAACAGTTAATTTTAGCTGATATCATGTGCAAATCTTCAAATCTTATATCTTATGCAAGATAGAAACTTTGTTTAATGGAAAAGATTGTGTGCATATTTTTAAAATTATTAGTAGTAATCTTAATAATTAGACTGATTGCAAGAGAACTTTTTTATGGATTAAAAAGCAAAAGGAGAGTCCAATTAGACTGTAATTAAGACTGCCTTTATAACAAAGTTAAAGAGGAGAAATTTGTGGAAAATAAAAATCGGACCTTTGGTGATCAGAATAAGGAATGGTACGGAGAAGAGAGATTTCTTGGCGTCGCTTCTCTCTTCTCTCTTGCGCTCTCTCATTTTTACCCATTAATCCTTCGGTTATTTGGGGTTCAGAGCTCTAGCTATTTGTTTCGCTCAGTACTCATTTCCAGATTTTGCTTTGGTTTTAGACTTTAGAGCAAACCCTCGCTTTCCTATGGTGCTACTCTTCCCAAAATAAATAACAAAACAAGTTATTTGTCCTTCTTTGATGCTTTTCTTTCAAAGTTTTTAAAGAAAGACAAAATTAAATTCAGAATAAGATTTACCAATATATTTAGTTTAAACCAGACCATATATTTTATATTATATTACCTCATATATCCTATTTTTAATTCAATAAACTAAACATATAACAATATAATAAAATGCATATTCAGAGAATAATTTTATTACTATTAATTAATCTTCATTATCATCGCACATTATTATTATTATAATCTTAAATAATTTATTTCCCAACTAAATGACCTTTCAAAATATTTTTCTAATATGGCAGAATCTTTTCGTTGATAATGCGTTAGTATAAAATAAAACTGTAAAGTAACACATTTAAAAGATTGATAAATTATTTCACTTTCAAGCTGAATACATAATTAATTAATTAATTTAGCTGCTTGCAAAGCTATTTGTTAATTACTTTAAGGAGCTGCGTTAAAACCTGCCTACAGAATAGTTTGTAAGCTTCTCACAAGCTACTTGTGAGCTATTGTAAATAAATATTTCCTTTTTTTGTTTGGGTGATAAATTGGATATATTAAAAAAATCACTATTTGTTATAAAATAAAGAGAAGTATAGAGAGAAACTAATATATTATTCAACTTCAAACTGGTGTACATAATGAACTGAAATCTCCTCTATTTATAGAAGAAAGGAAGCTGTTGTGTAAGCTGCTACTACAAAGTTGATGTGTAAGGTGCTACTACAAAGATGTTGTGTAAGCTACTACTACAAAGCTGCTGTGTAAGCTGCTACTACGAAACCGCTGTGTAAGCTGCTACTGTACTAGATATAGATAATCTTCTATCGAGGGTAATGTTTATTCATAACGGAGTTCCGAAAGGATAAGCTCATTGTACCATGTATGAATAATCTTCTACCGGTGGTAATGTTTATCTATAACGGAGTACCGAAAGGATAAGCTTATTGTCCTAGGTATGGATAATCTTCTTCAGGAAGCTTATTTATAATAGAGTACTAAATGAACATCCATAATATAATAGATTTATAACACTTCCCCTTGGATGTTCATTAAAAGATAATGTGCCTCATTAAAACCTTACTAGGAAAAATCCCGTGAAAAAAATCCTAGTGAAGAAAAAAAGTACACATATTTAGTAATAGGCATTGCTAGGTGTCTCATTAAAAACTTTATAAGGAAACCCTTATAGGAAAAAACCTTAGTAAGGAAAAAAGAGTGCATCACGTATTTTACTCCCCATAATAAAACCCTGTTTTAAATATTTGAGTCTCCGCATTCCAGTCTTGTATACCATCTTCTCAAAAGTTGAAATTGGCAAAGATTTAATGAATAAATCTGTCGGATTGTCACTTGAACGAATTTGTTGCACATTAATATAACCATTTTTCTGAAGATCGTGTGTGTAGAATAATTTTGGTGAAATGTGGTTCGTTCTATCTCCTTTTATAAATCCTCCCTTCAATTGGCCTATGTATGAAGCATTGTATTCGTATAAAGTTGTGGATCTTTTCTCACATTCCAAACCATATTTCTTTCGAATAAAATAAATTATTGATCTCAACCATATGCATTCCCTACTTGCTTCATGAATATTTAGCAATATCTGAAGAAGTAGCAACAATAGATTGCTTTGTGGAGCGTCATGATATGACAGTACCTCCATATGTTAACACGTACCCAGTTTGAGATTGTAATGGCTCGGTCAGTCGTTCTGAGAGTTATAGCCTCGTTTCCCTCATTTCTGCTTCTTTATGTGTTGTTCAGTTGTGTTGAGTTGTATCGAGTTGGTAGGTTTGGGTACGGAGTAGTTTTGGAGTGAAGTGAACACTTAGTCTCTTAGTTAGAAAAGTCAACCGGAAATTGACTTATGAGTAAACGAATTCCGATTTGGATTTTTATGATTCGATTAGCTTCGTTGGGTGATTTTAGACTTAGGAGTGTGTCCGGAGTATAATTTGGAGGTCTGTGGTAGAATTTGGCTTGAATTGGCTAAAGTTGGAAGTTTAGAAGTTCTTAGGCTTGAATTCGAGGTTGATTTGGTGTTGTTTTGGGGGATGTTCCGGAGGTTCGACTGAGTTCGGGTAGTGATATATGACTTGTTGGAATTATTGGTTGACTTATGAGAAATTCAAATATTGAAAATGTTTTGTTAAATTCGTATAATTAATCTACTAGTAATATTTTGGGAAATAGGTTTGCCTTGTAACAAGATAGGCGCCATCACGACCTGCGTTGGATTTTGGGTCGTGACAGAGATGGGGATCGGATCTGCATAACCAATACGATCTGCACCACCTTTGTTAGCATTAGCAAGATACATAAGTGCATCAATTACACTGAGATAGAGTATTTCAAGACTGAGAAGTTCCTCATCCTCTTCTGGAGATCGGAACGGATCCTTATTCACTTCAAGTGATAAAACACCCATTGACATACTTAATGGATGCTTTATCCATGTAAAAGCGTCTAAAAACCTTGTCTGTATATGCAAATTGATGGATAAAGATCTCGTCTTCTAGATACTCAATATGCAGACCAAGACAAATTTTTATTTTTCCAAGATCTTTCATCTCAGATTCTTCTTCAGATATTCAATTGCTTTTTGGAGCTCTTCTGGAGTTCCAATCATATTTCTGTCATCAATATCAACAGCAAATGTGGCAAATTCTGATGACATTTTCTTTATAAAAATACATGGATAAAAAATATCATTTATGTAACCTTCTTTGAGCAAATATACACTGAGGCGATTATATCTAGAGCTGTCAAAACGGGCTAGCCCAACCCAACCTAGCCCAAGCCTCGTGGGCTTTTAAATTTGGTGGGTTAGGGCGGGCTGGCCCTCTATATATATGGGCCTTAAAATGGCTAGCCCAGCCGAGCCCTAAGATGGTTGCGATCTAGGGTGGGCCAGCCCTTCAACTTTTTTAAGAAAAAATATTTCTTCAAATCATTAGATATTTTTTCGTGGCATAACCTCTTAATCATGTGAACGACTTTTGTTTATTTAGAGTGTACAAGAATCTTGATATTTGACAAGGAATCTCGTAATTGAAATGCAAATTTTCTATATTTCTAGCTCTTCTTTTTTAACGTTACATGAATATTTTTTAGTACTTTTCTTTCACTTTCCTTAGGTTCACGAATTACTTCAATAATTTTATATGTTAAGGTTTTATAATTTAGGTTTAACATTATTTGTTGATTTCATCATTATAGTCCATAAAAGTTTTAAAATTCATGAAATTTGTTAGTGTTGTCAATTTTATTGGGTATTAAAACTTAACTTTTTACTATACTAAAGAGCAATTTAATAATTAATAAATATATTAAAGTAACCAAACTGATCATTGGCCACTTAATATAATATTTTCTTTTGGAAAAAAATTATTATTAACCACTTAAAACTTTCATAGTTTGTTGTTAATTAAGCAAAAGAAAAACTAATCTTGTCATACTACATGCATATAAAAAATATTATTGGTGTCTTCTAAGCGCTAATATTTCCTTAAATCCCGTTTTTGTTGTCCTTTAATTGGAAAAACTCCCTTTTACGTGCCTTTGCGGGCGCGGGCGAAAAAGGAGGTGTGACAGCTCTGGCGACTCTGCTGGGGACCGAACCTAGAGTCTCTGGTTCAGGGTTCAGAATTCGAGCTTAGATGAATTGGTATATTTGGCTTTATTTATCATCTGATTTTATTACATGTTTTGTCCTAATGTGCTAAAATGTTGCTTTTTACCGCTTTGATATTATCTGAACTGTATATATAAACTGCTACGAAATCCCTCTCTTCTCTCTCTTGAGGAGTGCACGCTGGTCGTGACTTCTTTCTGTTAGTGTCATATCCCAAAATAGAACGAGGATTCAGAGGAGTTGCAAAACTGGATGATCTTTTGGTTACCGGTACGCAATTCCCATCATCGGTTCGAGTTTTCCGCTCGGGTAAGCCAGGTCAAGAACAAAACACCAAGGATAAACCTAGTATAACAAAACCTCATGCCGGATCCCTAGTCGGAACGCTTATTTGCATCATGTGCACTTGACTTAGGGGACTCAACACAGGGGTTGGGTCCATCTAGGACAAGCAACCTGAAATGAAAAAGACCATCCTGCTGCATCATGTTTGTTGACGCATTTATTTGCTACAGACTTGCATGCTGACCGGCTTCTGAAAATACTGGAATAAAAAAAAGAGAAAATAGCGGTGTAGAGAGATAATTCTGAGTTACCGGCAAACTCTGCCAAATTTTGTGAAAATGAACAAAAAAAACATTTTTTAGTGTAATTTGTTTAAACAAGTCTTGTTGTTAGAATCAGTTTATTGTCGTGGCCCGAACTACACCGGTTTGATTCTCATAGGATGCGAGATACGTAGGCAGCCCTCATCGGGTCCAACCTCCCCTTTTTGCAAAAATAGCCAAAAAATGTCAAATTTTAATTGTCAACATAAATAAGTCGGGTGATGTCGTTTTTTGCAAGAATAGCCGAGTGTTCCCGAAAGGGACACCGGAAGGCTGACTTTGCATAAACGGCCACTTTTGATCATCCTTTAGAGTTTTGGTCGGTTGACCCTCACAGCCTTAAAATCTTCATTCCCGAAGTGCTGAAAGGCCGTGTTCAGAACCGGATCTTTCTTTCAATCTGTGAATTTTTTTTTTTAAAAAAATAGCCAATTGGTTGAGTCAAATAAATTTTATTTTTGCTTAGTCACCTTAATAAATGTGCAGGATGAGCACAATGCAAAAGGAACCTTTTTGTTTTCAATAAAGATTTATGTCCACCAGATCATGGAAGATTTGAAGGATCTGCAAAGGGGCCTTGCACCAAAGCCTGCGGTAAGGCCGAACGATGCCTCGCGGGCACCAACCTTTGGAGCTTTAATGTATTCATAGTTCGAGTCAGTGTTTTTGTTTTTAGAGTTTGTTGTCTGTCTTTATATTCTTTTTTGCATCAAAATGGTC